TTTCCCTGACATATTATCTTTTGGATATGAGACTGATAGGCCCTTAGATCGTACACCTGGCAGGCATCGTCCAGTTTCCGGCATTCGTGGGTTTCCGTCGACCGAGCAGACTCCCCCGATACTCTTCTTATTGGAGAATACCAAACGACTGATGTGAACCTGCCCATCCGGCTGGTCAAGTACCCTCTCGACTATACCAACCGCCGGCTGCAGAATACAAACGGAGTGGTGACAGCTACGTGGGCTCACTGTGTGAACATTCTCCGTATGCAGGGCGGATTTGCTCGCAACGACACATTCTATCTTGGACGGAGCAACAATGCGAATACCAACAGCGATCGGTGGACCTGGAGCCCAGGCAGCTCGGCCAAGATCTCGACTGGGTTCTTCCCTCCTGGGGTCGAAGACCTGAGCTACAATGAGGCGCGGAAGGAATTCTATACCAGCACCGAGCACGTGGGGAAGAGATGGGTCCTCTCGTATAAAGGCGAGGTCAACTAGGTGGTTTGGATCGGGGATCTGCGTTGTGAGTGTACGTACCATTGGCATCATTTAGTGTAGGATAGCTGCAAAAAAAAAAAAAAAAAAAAGGGGGTAGTTGATTGTTCCGGATAGTACTGTCCTCGTACGTTTATGTCACCAGATTTGTCAAATTACCCACACAAGATATACTATATTGGCTCTCGCATTTGATTTTCTGGGCTATCCAATTTGAGTCGGTACTGATAGAAATAGACCTTCCAGAACAATCTTGTCCAGAACTCCCTACGCCACAGACGGCAGGACGGTGATCGGCAAGGCGACATGGGGACCCTGGCATAATACGAGCCAACCCACCCCCTGCAGCGCATCAATTACTGGACCAGACTTGAAACCCCTGCTGATTTGGCGGGCACTTGCATGCACCCAGGGTTACATTGGAGTTGGATCATGAATTAATGCGCCGTTTAAGGGGTCGTCTATCTTTGGAGAGCCAAGTCATGCTAATGTCCCACGCTTCCATAATGACCCGGACACAGTTCACTCACTGGATGTCAGCCGTGTATAAACGTATTATTAGTCTGAAAGATTATTGCTCCTCCATGAAAGATGTGTTTGGGCGAGTCAATAATGCTAAGCAGCGCCAAGTCAGGTAGCTGTTGGGGCATATCGCGATGGTCTAGACTTCATAGATCATCCCCCAAGACTGTCGTGGGAGGGACGATGATAAAATAGTGCCATTTGTCTTGTTGTCACAGCTAATATCGTGAGAGACCAATATGGGTTTGGATTTAGAATATCTGCAGGAATATGCCCTGCCACCTCGAGTTTGGGGGATGCTGATTGCTCTTCGCGAGTGTTCTACTCGGCGCTAAATGTCATGTACGCGCTGGGACCCTAACGGCTTACCAGCAAAAGAAAAAGAACTTTCAAAAAGTCATATTTATTCTTCTCAATCAATTTCTTTATCCGAATTAAACTCTTTCCTTTTCCTAGGAACAATATCTCCCTTGTCGCCTGTATACCCCCCGCCAATAAAGCATCTCAAGGACTGGGGAACACTCTGATTATAGACATGGAAATAAACATATCGCCTCGGCCTCATCGCGATCTCTTCCTCGGTACATCCCTCCATCCAACCAACAAATGAGTTTGCAATCATTGGGGCTTTAGAAGACGACGAGTGTGGGTAATATTCGAAAGACTCTCCATTATTCAATCTCATGCAAATACGAAAGCCAAGTTGTACCGCTTTATCTTGTTTGCAAGCGTTGGTAGCCCAGTAATTTGGGTGTAATATTCCACTCGGCCTGATCTCCGCATAGACAATAAAACCTGACTCATGATTGATCTGATCGATGAGTGGCGTTTGTATGCGCAATGTTATATGTATATGATGAACATAGATTGTGTATTCATTAATCCATGAATTTTCACATCGACTTCCCGAGTAAGATCGACCTGTAAGAAGACTCATCTGTGTTTTCATCTCTCTTGAAGATAATTGCTTAAGCAGTTCATCTTGGGATTTAATCTCGGAGTTTAATGGATTCCCAATATTGTCAGGGTGAATAATAACTTGGCACACTCCTTCTTTATCCAGAGTTAGCTGTGTGTGAGAGCCTCAGTCCCATCCTGCTCTTCTTGTTCTATGTATTCTTCGATATCATGATCAGTGATAGGTGCCTCCGAATGAATATGATTTTTGCTGTCGGACACCTCTATAACATCGGAAATACTGCCTTGTGGATTGGATTCAGAAGCAGCAGTGTCTGCAGAAGGATCGGGGATACTCGCTGGTTTTTCTGCTAGGGTGTCCTGTATAGACGTACTGGGGACAGCTTCCAGAACCCCTGTCTGTGACACGATAGATGGATTTAACGATCTATAGAGATCTTTTATTTGAGCGAACTTGCTCATGTCCATAACTCCTATATGTCGCTCCCGTGAAGAAAATATGAGAGCTCCTGTTTTCTTCTTGAACTGGTCTGGACAATGTGGCAGTGCATGCAGAAGCATTATAAGCCCATTTATCAGGGAGCCTCCATGGCTTTCCAATTTCATGACATCTTCGTCCGTTTCAAACCCTTTGCAATAGAGCCAAGCTCTAAAATTTGGGTCGATCGTTTTATAGGTCATTTTCTGGCATGTTTGTTCCCTTTCTGCACGATACCGACGGACGATTGCAACATGGATGACAATAGAGTTGAAAAAATATCCAAATATATTGGGTGTCTTAGTAATTTCCGAAGCAAATCGAAAGATCTCACCGATTTGGATGGAAGAGGACCATTTATTAGCCCATAGTAATCCAACAAGTCCAGGGGTCTGGATATAGACTCTCTCCACTTTTGAACCGATTATCTCGATATATGTGTCAAAGCTGTACCCACGAAGTTGAAGATTGATCGATACTAGCTTTTGATGAGAATTACAGCTCGATAGTATAAAATCATGAACGCCTCTCCCGGACATAATAATAACCCTGAGATTACTATTGCTGGTCAAGTGATGGTTGAGATCGCAGATAATATTGGTCTCTTCAGGGGTGAGAGGTTTGGCATAATTCGGGTTTGTGATTGAGGGGCTGTTTTGGAACATGAATGGCCATATAAGGGAATTTGTTTCATTGAAACCACTTTCCCTGATTCCCCAGGGTAATTCCAGTTGAGCTGTTGATGGAGACACGTTATCTGTAGTTGTGTAACACCCATCCTCCAAAATTATACCGATACGGGCGGAAGGGTCGCCAAATGGGGCAAGTAAACTTTGAGCTTTTCCAGTAACATCCAGGAGTTTCTTTGCATGGTTCTCCATATTTGGAAGAGGACATTTCCTTTCCATACATAGCGAGTTGATATTAAATCCTGATATAGCGTCTTGAGATTTTTTTATTGCTTCTTGAAATGCCTGAATGTATTCACTTGGCTTAGGGACCCGTTGTACACGATGGATTCGAGATTTAGATTCAGAGGAGTTCTCATGGAGCTGTTTCTGTCGAAATTCAGGCCACTCTCGTATATCAGGATCCGGGGAGTCTTTGAGATGTAGCTTCTGCTTCAAGCGCATCCATGGGCCCAAAGAGAGACCCTGTAGTAATGGAGATATAACATTGAGACCTTTGCCCCAATATGGTGATTTTGGCGGGTTATCTAACAATCTTTCCAGGATATTCGTAGGCAATGACTGAAAACAACAGGCCATCGTCATTTCGAGTATGTTTGTGAAAACAAGCTTGATAGTTTCATGAACACCTTCTGGGAGAATTAAGGTCCAAAGCCGTAGAAAGTTAGCAAATCGGTGTCCATTTCCTTTCAAAATAATGTAGTAGTGGAGTGTATTGTGAAGAGAGAGTAAAATATTCCGTATATGCTGCTTTATCCGGAAAATTGTCTTTCCAGCCTGGCCCACATAAAATCGAAGATATATCGGATCTGTAGAATCAGTTATGAAATCTAAGTATCCGCTGTCTGTGGGCCATTGATCCGGCTTAGAACTCTGTTTCTGGCGGATTTTTTGGAGTCTGCAACTTGTTAGCTATCCTCTTATCACGGACGTAGGCTCAAGACTCCAGGTGTGTAGCCTACACTTCCACGGTAACTTCGCATCCTTCAAGCTCCCGGATATCGGGATCTATAGATGAGAGTATTGCATCGACCACAGTGTCAACTCCCCCACAAACGTCGATGGTTCTTCGATAGGGGATATGTTTCATATCGGTGTCACTGGAGTTGTAGATGGCCTTGACAAGTTGCTGTGCTATCATCTTCACATCCGGGAAGACAAATCGTTGTTGGTTCTATTGAAACCTGGTTATAAGCGGAGTGGTCAGACACAATATTCCAGGGAGTAACATTACAGTGGGCTTGCTCCTGTCTCGTTTCTTGGGACATTTTGTTTTTATGTGGCCAAACTGCCCACATGAGAAACATCTTTTTGGTTGCATACAATCCCGACTCAAGTGGCCTTTATGCTTGCAGTGATCGCAGGTGTTCTGTGGGCATCTGCGAAAGACGTGTCCCAATTCGAAACAGCCATAACAGCGTGGGATACGACAACTGCTAATGAGATGGCCCACGGTCTGACAATTGTCACAAAACTTATACATGGTCAGTGAGGGTGTGCTTTCTAGGTATGTATCAGAAGAGAGAAGACAGCTGTGTGAGACGAAAAAAAGGAAAATGAGAAATAGGTGAGAGTATGAAGGGAGAGATAATATCTGGAGTCTTCAAGCGCTTTGAAATCGAGACGTTATTGACAACCAGGTATCTTGAAGCTCTTAGGGAGTGAGAAAACAAACGAAAAGAAACGATTATTTGACACTTTTTCTATGTGGAAAACAGAAGGCAGAAATTCACTCAAATCCTCTCTAGGCGAGGAGGCGGCCTAGGAACGCCGAAGGCACCTGAATATAACATTCAGGAAGGGCGGGTGGGGGCAAGATACTGGGCTTCGTTGGGTTATGACGTTGTATATACGAACAAAATCATGAAAAAAGAAAAGAGAAGTTAAAAAAATTAAGGTCGTGCCCGGGTTCGACGGGGTTATCAGAAGGTGAGTTATAATCAACTAGATAGGATTAGTAAATTATAGAAGGTAAATAGGTAGCGAATGGAGCACAAACAATCTGAAGTGATAACCACTACACTACACAACCAGCGATGACGTTTTTTTCCTTATGTCTTTATTAGTGTAAATAACAGATGGACTTCGTAATGCACTGCTAAAAATAATAGAATTTGCCAAGCCGCCAAGCCCCTAAGAGCTTGAAAAAATGCCTAAATATGGATATTATGATTTATATGTACAATCAAAGTCAAAAAAAAAAAAATAGAAACTACTACTCCTACTACTCCTACTATTGTATATAGTAACTTGAAATGAAATTGAGCAACAAGCAGGATTACCTGCCAAGAATGTAAAAGCTTTTCTTAATTCATGATTATATACGTGTTAACCGTGGACATGCTATAATACGACAAAAAGTTCCTTTGTTCCTGTCTGTATCTGGTAATTTGAGCAAAATAATGAATCAGCTGTGTTACATCTGTTCTGGCCCACTAATGTGTCATCCAGACATGCAATGCCACATAGATAGATCTCAGAACCTATCAAACACTACTAACTGAACCCTCCTCCCAACATCGCTTAAGATACCCGACAATTGTAGCTATGAGTCTCGTAAGACGAGCTTTTCTGAACCATGTTCAACTGAGACCCCGTCTCGTATCTGGTGACTGCACAGTCGAAAAGATTACTAATATATTAGCCGCTTCATGAGTAGCCTATACGTCAGCATTTGTGGACACGCAGGAAATTCAGGTGCAGTATAGAGAGAGGGCTTCAGGGTGTTCATTCAGGTGAAGGACAGGGCGGCGGGAGCACTAATCCCACAAATCTAAAAAATAAGACATAAAAACATACAACAGCAGGGATTCGCTGGTGGTCACCCACCCAACTACTAACCTGCCGGCGTGTGGCTTGAGTACGGCTGAGCGGACGGGAAGCCCTATTTTCCACACCCTGTGGTCGTATGTACAGTCTTCTTGTAAGAAGGAGATGATATGTTGCAGCTCTGGTTTGCTTTAGGCCGCCACATCGCTCAAAGGGATCAAAGGATCAAAGAGGTGAAATTATTCTTTGTTTGGCCACATATAAATAGTGGTCAGATCCTCATTTTGTTCTCTATAATCATCATCATCATTCAGAGCTTCAATATTATCGCGGTTTACGCATCATTTCTTTAGCTTCATCGCTCGTCATGATATCTTGAGGAGGCATGAATATAATATTGTGACAAAATTATACAGATTCCGTTTTAGCTCCGTTCTACGCGTATAATCGGATATCGACCGTTCTAGAGACTTCCTGCGATGTAAACGTGCAATGGGGATATTCCACTCCATTTTCCAATACAGATGGGCTGTCCTTCGCGGTAGGCAGACCAGATGGGGAAGATGGTGACGAACACGACGAGGAAGAAGACGATGCTGGCGAAGAGACTTCTCCCCACATGACCGGCTTCAACGCTGCACGAACATTGTCTGTAGGGGGATGACAGGCAGCGCTGATGGCAGCACTACAGTGTCCAGCCAAGGGCATTTGGGACTTATACGGCCGGATACCTAGGCTCAACAGAATCCCCGTCGCCACCGGCTAGCAAGAGAAGCAGTAGGCCCGAGAAAAATGTATTCTTTTCATCATCTTCTCTCGCTCAAAAAGAGTTTTATCCGCAAAAAGATTCTAAACGAGTAGAAGGAAGAGTGGATCAAATCCATAAAAAGAGGCTATCTCCGCCAAATCAACCAAACTCTACCTGAAATCCGTATCTGACGATTGTATGGATTACTTCTACGGAACCGAGCATATCTACTCACGTAACTTCGGACGAGTCACTCTTGGCTGACAATATACAAGAAATAACACGGTTTCTAGAACCATAACAGATATACCTATAGAGCTCGAGAGACGGTAGTCCATATATCGATAGACTGCCTATAAACTCAGAGATCTGCGACAATAATTACGGGGAAAAATCGGAGCCGTATTTAGCAATATTTTAATTATGCTAGGAGAGCAATAAGATAAGAAAAAAATAAGATACAAGGGTTAAACAGAACAACAATATTCTAGAGACTGTATTAGACTTCACAAAAGTGTCTCAGAGGTTTCAAAGTCGCGCGCCACGGGGGCTGCAGAACAGAGCACCGGGTAACTAGGCTAATATAAGTCTCGACGAGGCTCCAAATTCGTCAGAAAAGTAATGGTTCAATATATACAGGGAAATATATAGATAGATACTAGTATAGGGAGCTCCTGCATATCGCCGACGGCGAGGGGTCAGTATATGAAATCATCATCATCATCATCATCATCGTCTGTACTTCCAACCCCCAAGCCATTCCCTACTTCAACTATCCAATTTTGCTGTACAGGGAACTGCAAAACCAGCTTCACCAAGTCAGGCTCTCTTCTTTATTCTGGGCCCCACTGTCAAGAAGCTAATACTAAAATGGGTGCATCTGATTGGACGTCGATTCATTATGTCATAAGTCCTCTCCTGTCACAGTCACGCCCGCCTCAATTGGTCGCCCAAAAAGAGAGTCAAACCCATAACACTATGCATAACTCTCCTTCAGATGCTGATAATGGCATTCTACCCCTAGTCTGAGGCTAAGTATTGATCCCTCGATTATCAGAAAATATCGCAATAAAGACAACATTATAGCTAAACTCGATGTAGAGCAACCAAGCATGGAAATATATACTTCACGATGTTCGATCCAATTATAATCATTCCCCCTCGACTTCAATGCTCGCATGTCGAAAATGCCCTTGCGCACTGTCTTTCCTAGACCCCACGATATCCAGACTCCACCCAAGTAATTCTTTGAAATCTTGACCTGTATGCTCCTGCCAATTTCGTCTCACAAACGCCTTGAGCTCTGCCTGTAAGCAAAATAAGAACGCAAGAGCGAGCTTGAGAGCGAAACTACCAGTGACAAAGAAAATGTCTTCTGATATGTACTTATGACGTGCCCCAGATGCCTTGCAGAACAACTCATACTTACAGTTCCCCTCTTCTTGCCTTCTAATAACTATATGAAAAATATTGGGAGTTTTTTTTTCCTCATAACTTGCCCAAGATTTCCTCTCGCTTTTCTCTCAGTGTACCACCGAAAAATGACGAAAAAGAAATCTAACCGCGCGTCGCAAGTGGTGCCCAAGCATTCGCTGCCCGTCCAAGTATCTCCAAGAATTGACTATCATCGACCATTGTCATCGTGAGTCCTTTTCAGACATTGGTATAAACTTCATTCTGACCTGTTTGTTGGCCCTACGAATCCCCAGTTGTCACCCTCGCTATCGGGAATAGGCAATATGGCCTTCCGGCACATTTCCTTGCAGGTGGAAAGACTGATTTCAACAGCTATGATCATAGGCGAGTCCTTGCCCGGCGTGTCTAGAAACTGTCTCCCCAGCACATCAACTGCGCCTAACGGACGTGCGATAGCTATCTAGCTATCAGTCTGATTTCCCAGATACAGACAATTCCCACCATCGGGAAGGTATTCGTTCGTTAGCTGGTTAAATGCGAGACAGCCATGATCCATATTTCTAGGGGCAGATATAAAGGTGTGGTGTCGAAGTGACATCATGGAGAGGCCAGAATGGAAATCTTCTCTTTCTCGCTTCCCCTCATCAATTAGTCTCGAAATGCCTTCGAATTCGCCTGATCACAAATGACCAAATTGAGCGTATTGACGGGCATGACTTCTGCTGATCTAATAGAGGTGATTATGGATCGCACTTTAATCCTACGGGTGGATATCGGCGGTTGAAGCAAGAAAAGTGACATTTCTCAAAGCTACCACATCCATGATAATTGACAGACTGGAATGGATTGTTGTGTAGAAACTGACATTTGAAAGTGGTTACTTCTGTCATGCCCTCGACAGTCGGCTGTGTGACAAGGGCAACATATCCATCTGGTCTCACCACAGCCACTGCGCCCTTGGATAGATCAATTCCGTATTTATCATACGCGGCTCCGGTTGTAGGATCATGGAAGGCTTTTGCATCCGCGTAGATTTTCCAATAATCCATCACCCCCTGCTCGGCTCTCCGGCGCCACCAGAACGCCGGCGAAGGCCAGGTATGCCGACAGACTAGATTGAGCCGGGTTTGAGTTTCGAGATTCATGGAGAATCGTTTATCCTACAATTTAAACTTGTCTTCCTCCACTTGATTCAAATTATAGAAAGTATCTCTGGTCAACTGAACTTAGCCTGGCAACCTTTCATGTGGTTTACAAATGTCCCCCAACAACTTGCGTGCTTCATCCTTCAACACCCATTGCCTCTCATCACCGTAAACTTTCTGTATATAAGGCATCTGGCGCATCCAATTCGTCCACTTCCTTACGACATCCACTGCGACATCTTTTTCCACCTCAAACCATTCAACGTGACGTTTCCCGCACCCGGGGCATTGAAGCTCTTGCCTGCGATGATTTTTGAGTTCTGCATGAACCAGCTTCTCCACGCGGGTGATATGTTGCACAGGATAGCCTCGCTCCGCTTCTTTCGGGAAGTGATTATATAGCTTCTTTTTACATTGACTCTCCCATTGTCTTAATCGTTTCTCGACATTTTTTGTGCAGCCAATCTTCACACGCCCAAAGTTCCCTGGATGCCAATAAATGTAGATGTAGCCTTCACGCTCAATCTCCCTTTGTCGCAAAGGGGTAATGATTATTTTTTCCAGGACCTCGGAAATGGACTTCCACTTGTAGCGTTTAGGGCAGTTTGGGATGAGCGTCTGGTGCACATATTTTCGATCGGTGTGGCCCTCTGCAGTGTCGGTTTGAGAAAATTCCTGATCATTCCCGCTCTGAATATTAGTTCCTACAGCGAGAGATATCCCATGCGCTTTCTCTACTCTCTCGGTATCATCAGTATGAACGAAATGGCTTATGTTGGTCGTTAGGGGCCCTTTGGGATAATGATTTGAGCGAGCGCCAGAGGATATGGTATCAACCCGAGTTAAAGATCTGCTTTCTCTGCGGTGGGACTCTCCACCCCGCAGGAAATTAATATCAGGCTTCAAATTCATAGGGTACACCCTGAACCGACTGGTAGCTTCGAAGGACGAATC